AAGAAGAAAACAAAAAAATAATCATGACTCTTAATAAATAAATAAATTTTAAATAAATCCTTATTTGATTCTTACTACACAAACTCAATAAAATATTATTCAAAGGTTAGGAAATAAAAATGATCCTAACATATATATACTCTACTTCTAGGGTTTTTGCATGATTTATTCGAGTGAGGATCTTGAATCCTTTTCTGAATCGAAAGAACTTCTACTCAGATCGAACTTTCTCGTTAGATCTCTATCATCGTATATCCCGATATAATCCTGTCCTAACTCCAAATGCGATAAGATTTAAAGGAAATAAATTAGATCAAGTCAATTTTATCATCTTGGGTTGACGAAGAATCAAATCAACCCTAACGAAATAATATATGGAGATAACAAAGGATGGAAAAAGGAATTCCAATCACATGCAATTTCTGTGACTACACTCGTTGTAGTGCATTATGTATTGTGCAGATATGATCATCGACCAAGTTGACTTTTACGATTCGTCCACCTATGTGGCATGCATGACCAAGCCAAAGAAAAGTCGTCGGTGCTTGAACAACATTTGTTAGCAACTTTTCCTTCCATCAAATTTGCTAGAAAAATATGTCAACAGTTCAATATAGATTGTCTTAAAGCCATTAGTCCTTTTTTAGCAGTTTAAACTGTGAGGAATAATGATCATTCAATTCAAAATTTTTATCATCAATGTTCATCATGCACTTGAGTTCAGTTTCATAAATATTAAAAGGATAAGTTAGAAGAGCTTAATATAAATCAGGCTTTTTCTTAAGTACAACTTAGGATTTCAGGATTTCTAATAACTTAATTCGAATACTTATCACTTTGTTTTGTCAAATGAACATTGTTGGTGTGTGTCCCAATCTGCAGTATGAGATCTACATTCAACCTAAAGATCAGCTACTCTTTGGCATTGCAGATGGTGAAGAAGTTGGAACTGAGGGAAGGAGATGTGGGGAAGAATTCAAAGCTCCTCTTCACATCAGTGAGGAGGGGGTTCAAACTATGTGCCACAATTGCATGGCACTGACCATGAAAGAGAGAACAAACAATGTTGACCTGAGGAGGAGAGGGTGTCAACATTCTTGCATGTCCAGCTTTCAGCAGCAGTATCAGTCGAGCAAATCAATCTCAGAGCTTTCATGGCTGTTCTCACTTTCCATGTCTTGAGTCAACAGTCAAATACTAATGTCTGAATGCTACTGTCACCTCTAATGTAAGCTTATGAATTAAGTTCAGCAGCTGATAATAATGAAGATGATGATGATGACAGGATTCTACTTGGATTTGACTGCCGCTGCCATGGTCAATGCTGCTTGAATGCTTGCAAGGGCATGCAAGACTGTTACAACAGTTTGAAGACTTCCCATATGTCCTGCTCATCTCCTTACTGATCACTCCTTTTCTGACACTACCATGGACGAACTACTGACAGACCTGCATGCTTTCCAGGTCAATTGATCTTTCTCTTCTGTGTTTGTTATGCTACCTTCATCAATACGGCAGAAAGAGGTGACAGATCTTGATGCCTTGGAAGTGGTTGTGAAGAAGAAAACAACAAGTCATAGAATTAAGCTCAAAGATGTGCACTGTTGAATTGATCCACCCATTTATTTTGCTTCATGTATATCCTCCTCCTCATCATCATCATACATGGCTTGGAGCTGTAGACAAGAAGATAACACACATCAGAACCACTCAGTCTTAGTGTTGCAATTCTCCCATGCTTACCTGCAAACATACAAAGATATCATTTGGACAGCGGTTGGAACGTCACGATGACAAATACAAAGACGACATCAGCAATGGTGGTGTTGAGTAGTGAAAGGTGATCTGTTCCTGTCATGTCATGCAAGTTGTATCAAGAAACCCTAGAAGAATGACAAGGAGGAAGACTACATCGACATTGATACCCAAAGATCTGATGGTACTGAAGGAGGACAGCAGCATTTGTCTGTGGATAACATAGTGCCCGAGAGATGCACCAAAACATCCACTTCAATCCAAGAGAGGCTGTGGGGAGAAGATGAATGGGATAAGGGGGGGGTTCACATTACATGGGGTAGGGTGGCCATGGTCCTGTGGCTTGCCAAGGACAGCTCTTTATGATGCCAAATTGGTAGAGAGAGACACACTACACCATAAAATATTTTTTCTAAAATAATTGACATAATATCCTCATATTTTTTTTATAAATTCATATATCTTTGCATGGTAAAAAAAACGAAAAAGAGAGTGATTTAGTGCATAAAGATATTGTTAATACGAGATCCGAAAATAATCTTAATCTTATAATAAAATAAGTTATTTTCATAACTTAAATCATGACTATTAGTGTTAAAATTTATCATCGTTTCTACGAATTAAGAGATTAATAAAGATATCATATATAATGGTTTTGTGTAATCAATAAATATTTCTTTTTTAAAAAGAATAATTTAATAAGATAATTATTAGGCAAATTATGTTTTATGAATTTATATATCGAATGTTTGAGATTGATGTGTGAAGTTATTAGACATAGTACAAAGGTAAGATTGGGAGGTAACATCTAATGTGATTTGGACATGTCCAAAACATGAGTTATGCACAAAGTAATAACATGAATGATTAATGAAGTTTAGGAGGCATTATTAGAGTTAGGATTAAGATGAGGACATTTAGTACTTGCTAGTGGTTGGTAGCATATGCATGTCATTGGTCAAAATCATGCACAAAACCAATTATGTGGTTTGCTTGGACTAGAAAGTTTACTTGAACTCTAATCTTTCTATTAATATTTCTTTTTTTCTTAATTAAGCCACAAGTTATAGATCAATGTTTCAATTTGGTAACATGTAATTGATAGTGGATGCATGTATTAATACAAGTTGACAAAAAATAAAATGATATTTTTGATATATATCTATATATATGTGTATATATATATCTAACAAGTCACATGTTCATCTCTTATGGATGCACTTCTTTGGTGAACAGATCTCAATGACATGATGAACTGAGTTGACAATGGGAATTGAGCAAATTTCATTTTTTTTATGTATATATAATTAAAGTTAGATCAAATTGTAAATTAATTATAGTACTACCTTAAGGAAGAGGAATTGTTGCATGATTAAGAAAAAGTATTTAGCAGATATGTTTGACCTAATATGTCCAATATTAATGAGTTATTAGTTACACTAGCATCTTTGATCTTGAAATTTTTTATGTTAGCATATATCCAAATATTTCCATCATATCCTCATTGTTGATTATATATTTTAATAAATAAACAACTAGAAAACAATAGATTAATATACATATGAGTCGATTAGGATTAAATGGTTTAAGAAAATAATATGAAGATAAAAAAATCTTTTAACATATTTTTAATAATGAGAAAATATTTGTACAATCGACCCCAAATAATTTGGACATTACGATAATTATTGTGGTTATTGGTATCTTTTAGAGTCGATTAAATCAAAATTTTCCCCATCAAATAGGTTTGTATTTATTCTTCATTTTGTCTTGCACTTGTTGAATGATTGTTCTCAACATCATCCTTAGTTCATTCCATGCTTTATGGATCTTGATTCACATAATTTATGGATCTTTATTATCAATGATCCACCTTCTCAGTGTTGGCATCAGTCATGCAATCAAAGGACAAAGACATCAACATGAATAATGGTTCTTGTGTTGGAATCATGTTTCCCTCAACCTATTTTTCATGGTGTGATATCATATTCTTCAAAGATGATACTTATTTTAGTGCTGTTTTCATGACCCATAACATCATTATTTCATGACAAGTAGAGTTGAGGTCCATCTTGACAAAACATATGGAAGTAGAAATAGTTTGAGAGAGAGAAAAAAAATATTATTCATACATACCTAATAGACCTTAATTTCCAACATTATCAAGTTAGGTAGAACCATCAAAGCAATATGGATGCAAAGAAGAAAAGAAGCATCATATCATGTTGCTTCAAATTGGCTAAACTTGACATCTCAATAAGGAGGTTTGGGAAATTTATTAGCCTTTTTTTTTTAATGCAAATGAAACCTTATTTTTTTTAAAAAATATTTATCTTTGTTAAAATTTTGATTTAATGTGTTTATTCCTCCACTTCAAGACTAATAATTATATCTCTACTATTTAAGCCATTAAAATCTTTCCTAAAACCATGACAATGTTGAATTCATAAAAAGGAAAATTAATTGATAAAAAATACTTCACCTTCTCCCTCTTAAACCTCTCTCCTATTTCTCCCTTCCATCTCTTCTCCTCTTCCCTTTTATCTCATTTTACTTGGTTGTGGCATCTTGATTTAAGTACTAATGATAGGTCCTAATAGCTAATTGGAGTAATAAATGTTTCAATTTTTTAAGTGTTTCACATAAAATATATGAAATACATTAATATCTAACAAGTAAATGAAATAAGTGTTTTTTTTTTCTATTTAACCTTTAGTTAAGTATATTATAAAATGTTAATTGAGTTGTGGGAAGTTTGGTGGACAGAAAGAGAGAAAAGTGAAATAAATGAATTTTCCATTTAATACTTTAATTACAAATATTATAATAAATTAATTGAGTTGTGGGAAGTTTGGTGGAGAGAGAGAGAGAGGTGAAATAAATGAATTTCCCATTTAATCCTTTAATTACAAATATTATAAGAATTTAATTGAGTTGTGGGAAGTTTGGTGTGTAGAAAGAGAGTAACAGAGAAATGAAATGAATGAATTTTCCATTTAATTTCTTTATTATAAATATTATTAAACTTTTAATTGGGTTTTTTGGGGAGAATTGAAACAAATGAAATTTCCTTTTAATCTTTAAATTACAAATATAATAAAATTTTAATTGAGTTGTGGGAAGTTTGGTTGGTAGAGAGAGAGAGAGAGAGAGAGAGAGAGAGAGAAATGAAATTTCCATTTAATCTTTTAATTTTATTATTTTAATTGAGCTGTGGGAGAGTTTGGTGGGTGGGGAGAGAGAGAGAGAGAGAGAGAGAGAGAGAGCAAAGCCTGCAGAGTTCAAAAGCTTTCAATCATTCTGTGAGATCGATAAGGGGAGAGAGCTATAAAGGAAATGGTTGTTCATGAAGAGCGCACGCTGCATCCCCCACCCGCGCGGGAATTGCGCCCACTGCCGTTGTTGGAGACCAGCAAAGCGGCGTCCACTCCCGCCTCCTCCGCCGCCCCCGCGGAGAAGAAGTCGACACGGAGCGAACCCCCACCATAAACCCTTGGATTTCGATCTCCTCCCTCCTCTCCCACCTTGTCTCCTCTCGACCAGATCAAGAAAAAGACCTCCTTTTTTGCCCCTTGTAAACCAATATCGACGTCAATCATCTTCGTATTGTTTTTTCTGTGGACGGTATCATTCAATCCGAGGAAGAAGAGGGCATAAAAAAGTAATCTTGAATTCAGAATGCCTTCCACCTATCTGCATATTCATGTCGACAACCCGGACAAACCCTGTCTCCCTCTGTTTCTTTATCTTCTTCCCTATTTACTACTTTAGTTTACCTTGATTAGTCTTCGGTTCTCGTCTTTTTTTCCTTTTTGTTCTGTTACCTCATCGGGTCTTTCCAAGTTGAGATTTTGATGCCAGATCGCTTTGTTTTGGGGTCTTTCTGATACTGGCCCGTTGATTTGCTGAATGCCTTTTCATTTGTTGGCTTTCTTCAATGCGGAGGGCTTCGGAGAACGGTTTTGATCGGCGGTGATGATCTGTGGAGTACACTGGGGGCTTGAGGTTGCGAGATGGACCGTCGGAGTTGGCTGTGGAGGCGGAAGCAATCGGACAGGAGTCCTGGTGAGACCGAGAGCTCAGGGTCAGCCTCTTCCGAGATGCACTCTGGTGATCAGGTTTGTTCATCCCCTTTCGTGTAGACGAGTAGAGATCGAAATCTGTGCTTGGTTTTTCGGTTGGAAAAATCACAACATAAATGAAGCTTCAAGTAATTGTTTTTAGCAAAAGATGATGCCTACAGCAAAAGCAGATGCTTCGTCGGATGCTTGTCGTCTACTTCTGTGGTATGCAATTTGAGCTGTTAGTGTTAGAATCGACCGCAAACCTTGGACTTTTTGTGCTTTGGCTGAAATGATCCACAACAGCAATGTTTGTGGATCTTTCGTCGGCAGAAATGAAGCATAACTACAATCTTTCTGGACTACTTTCCTTTCTCCCATCCGATGTCTCTGGCCTTTGAGAGATCTACTCATATTTCTATTATATTACTCAAAAGAACACTGTTATCTTACATTCTTTATCTCTCATGACTCAATTTTCCATGAATGTCTCAGTAAACATAATTAACAATTATATGATTATACAACCTGGAACATGCAATTTTCTCACCTTATGCTGTGATTGCTCTCTATTTCTTACTCATAGTTCAGGCTGTTGTTTACATGGCACTCATCTAAACAGCCTATTAAATATTTTGGGGAATGTGCTTCCAGGAGTTCGAATTTGTGTTACTCTGCAAGAGGCGTTCTCTATAGCATTAGGCCTTTTTGCAAGAATTGCTGTGGACTTGTCTAAATTAATCAAATTCGTTTATTGTTTAGCAGGAGGCACTGATTAGTTCTTCTCCAAGGCATGCTCAGTCACCTGAGGTTGCATCAAAGGATGTCAGCCAGGACAATGAAACTATAAGGACTTTAAATGAGAAATTATCAGCTGCTCTTGTGAACATAAGTGCTAAAGAAAATTTGGTAAGACAGCATGCAAAAGTTGCAGAAGAAGCTGTTTTAGGTAATCTTCCTTTTAAATTTTTATTTTTCTGAATAAATCCTTGTTCAAACATTAGTGCCTTGATTAAGGGAATATCTGACATTTATAGATGATTTTGAAGTACCAACTCCAATATGCTCAATACATTCCAAAAGCTAGATACAAAAACCAGTTGGACCAGTATGTGCCAGCCAGTATTTAGCAGTCTGACTTGGTTCCAGTGTGGGAATTGGTCCAGTTCAAAACCGTAGTTTTTCTTTTTATTATTTTTCTTAATATAATAAGCTGAAAGGAGCTGTTCACCTCTCTCGTTTCATTCTCTTGGCTGCAACAGTGCCTTCTTTCCTCTCTTGGATGTTTTCCCTTTAGAGAAGCTGTATTCACTCTCTATCTTCCCTTCGCTCACTGCAACACCTCAACCTCTGCCTCGACCGTACTTCTCTCTCTTTCCTTTGCTTGACTGCAATGGTACAACTGCCTCTGCTGCAGAATGACATCTTATATACTTTACGGATATGACAGCAAAATTTGACATGACAAAGAGATGAATTAGATAAAGCAAGATATCTATCATCGAGGATCAAAACAAAGTGTATATGTTTCAATGACAGATATAATAACTAATAACTACTTGCAAAAAGTGCCTAAATGTGCTTGAAGTTATTTAACTTCTTCAATTGTTTTCTCCTCTGCACTGTCACCTGTAAACTTAAAGACTTGCTTATGTCCATTGGTCTTATTCTTTACATGTCAACTAACTTAAAGATACCTAACATTTCTTTTGGATATTTTAAGAATTCAACTTGCCGACAGATCTGTGGCATGAATCAACATGTCCTCATTTTTTAATCATCACAAAAATTCTGGTAAAATTGCTAAAAGCTAACATTTTATGGTCAATAAACAAGAACTAGTTAGATGTATGCCGAACAAAAATAGTTAGATAAGACTAATTAACATGTAAACCTTCTCAGAGTTATTCACTACATTAGGACTACGCAAAATATTTGGTAGATATGTTTCATGTTGTTGGATAATTACTTACATGGTTGAATTCTATAACTTTCTTTCTAGGCTGGGAAAATGCAGAGAAGGAAGTTTCATCTCTAAAGCAGCAGCTTGAAGCTGCATCAAAGGAGAAATCATCCCTTGAAGATAGAATTGTTCATCTTGATGCTGCCCTCAAGGAGTGTGTCAGGCAGTTCTGGCAAACAAAGGAAGAGCAAGGACAGAAAGTCCACGATACCATCACCAAGAAAACCCGTGAATGGGAGTCTGACAAATTGGAGCTTGAAATCCGACTTACTGAGCTTCAAGCCCAACTGGAAGCTAAAGCTGAAATTACCACATCTGTTGACCACCAGCTTTGCTCAAAGGTTGACATTCTTGAGGAAGAAAAATCTGCTCTTAAAGTTGAACTCGATACCCTTACTAGGGATCTCCAAATGAGAACATTAGAGTTGGAGCTAAGCGCCAGAGTAGCAGAAACAGCCAGCAAGCAACATTTGGACAGCATAAAAAAGTTAACAAAGCTTGAAGCTGAGTGCCGTAGGTTACGAGCTACAGCACGTAAATCATCATTAGCTAATGAGCAAAAGCTCCTTTCTAGCTCGCATTATTCTGAATCTGTCACTGATAGCCAGTCAGATGCTGGTGAACAGTTGTTAAGTCTGGATAATGAGCAAAGTTGTTCAGATTCATGGGCATCAGCCCTAATTGCGGAGCTTGATCAGTTCAAAAATGAAAAGGCTAATGCAACAAGTGTCACCACTTCTGCAGAAATTGACCTAATGAATGATTTCCTGGAGATGGAAAGACTAGTCGCGTTGCCTGAGGATGACCATGGAAGCTCTAGCATTGAGCATGACAATGGTTCGGACCATACTTTTAACAGAGGCAGCTCTTCAAGAAAGGAACTTGATACTATCCGTCTGCATATGGTTGAGTTGGAAGAGCCAGTCGAGAAAATGACAACTGCAAAAATTGGAATGGAATTGTCTTTACCTGTATTGAACAATCAGCTAAAGAATACACATGATCAGCTGGAAGCAACTGAAGCTAAGTTGGTTGAGTTGCAAAGGCAACTTAATTTGGTTAATGGGGAAAATCATGTTCTTGAGAGAGAACTAGAAGCAGCCGAGGGAAAGACAAATGAACTTCAGCTCCAGCTCGAATCAGCAAATACCAAAAATGCGGAGTTACAGGAGAGAGTAAACTTATTAGAAAGGAAATCTGAAGAAGAGCAGGAGTTGTCTGCCAAACTGAAAGTGAGGTGCCAAAATATAGGGGCAACAGAAGCTAATAAGAGGAAGGAAGCTGAACATCAGCTTGAGTCAGCATTTGGTGAAATTGCAGAGTTAAAGGAAACAATTAGTTTATTAGAAAGAAAATTTGAAGAAGAGAAAGCTTTGTCCACAGAACTGGCATCTAGGTGTTGGAAATCAGAAGCATTGAAAGGAAAGATAGAGGAATTGGAGTGTCAGCTTGAGTTAGCAAATTTGGAAATTCAAAATCTACGTGGGATGGCTAGTTCATTTGAAATGAAACTTGAGGAGGAGAAGGCATATTCAACAGAACTTTTAGCCGAGTGTCAGAGTATGGAAGCCATGGAGGCAAAGAAAAAGGAGTTGGAGTGTCAACTTACTGCAGAACATTTGGAAGTAGGCAAGTTACAGGAGAAGGTGAATATACTGGAACGGAAAGTTGAGGAGGAAAGAGCATTGTGTTTGGGGCTTGCAGCTAATATAGAGGCCATAGAGGCAAAGAGAAAGGAATTGGTGGTGCAACTTGAGTCAGCACATATGGAAGTTGGGATCCTCCAGGAGAAGTTGATCGCATTAGAAAAACAAGTTGAAGAGGAAAGGGCACTGTCTGCAGACTATGCAACAAATTACCACAGGTTGGAACATGAGTTATCCAGGAAGCAGCAAGCAGCTGAATTCCATTTATCAGCATCCTCAAATAGAGTGTTGAAGACTAGACAGGTAGGTTACTTTAGTTGCTCACATTTTAATTTCATCCTTCCAGCTTAATCATGATGCCTGGCTGTTATATCACTCTGTTTGCTGTACTTTATTCCGAAACGAGAAACTGCAAACTATACATTGCTCCAAGCATTTACCAAATTTCTTTTCTTGATTGTTTGCTGAACATGCTTGTTTTGTTCTCAGGAAAAAGATATTGCTCTAGCTGCTGGGAAGCTTGTGGAGTGCCAGAAGACAATAGCCTCTCTTAACCGGCAGTTGAAAACATTAGCAATGTTCGACGAATTGATGCTTGAAACAGAGAAGCCGGAGTCAAATGGAGAACTGTTGGATCTGAGAGGGGATTCTAAGATAATAGACCCCAGCATATCCCCAGAGTAGAATGAGCAGCTTTCCTTGGCCATCTTCATCCTCCTGGAGTGGACATCCAGAAATTTCATATCCTAGCATAAAATAGTCGGATAGAAACCAGTGAAAATGTATATTGAGAAAAAAAAGCGATTTTTGTGAATTATATGGCAATCATGTATGTGATAGAAATTTCTCGACAGACGCAATTAACATTTGATTCTCTACTTCTGCAGAATCTGTGTTAAGCGACAAATAGACGAAATTGTATGAAGATTACAGCGTTACCATAAGTGTTTTGCATGATTGTATATAGTTAAGCTAATGATGTGAATTGTCAGTATAAGGTATCCAGGTCTTTGTGCCATTCAAGATTCATCAACCTTCACCATTTTTACAGTAACAAAATGAGCAGCCACAGCAAGATATCAACAGTATCCTTCATCACCTTTTCACCCTTTAAATGCACATGCTGGTATTGCTTTTTTTTTTTTTCTCTCTCTCTCTCTCTCTGGTCCTTTTTTTATGCTCTAGAATTAGTTATTATTAATTGATAGGTATGACTGTTTGATTGCACTCACTAATACAACTGATGGAATCAGGCAGATGTGGAGTAAAAATCCTATCATCTACAAACATTCTCCTTAGAAATAATAAAATAATAGTTTTCAATTCATAACTCCAAAAACAAGTTAGAAATGTAACAAATTTATGTTAAAGATGGAATTTGGTTAATTGAGTGACTGATGGTTTCATTTTAGATCTCTTATTTTAAGCCAAGTGTTGTATTTCCACTAACCTCTTTAGTCCCACATCGAGGAACACAACAGCAGGAGCTACATGAGAGGCTATAAAGTGCGGTCCTGGCAAATATCCCGCTGGATTCTTTCTCTGCTTTTTGTCTTTGGTCTAATGGAGTGTCTGTCCTTATTTATTTAGTGTCTGATACGTGGAGGGCCTGCTATAGTGGCTGGCCACTGGGGTCCTCCTGCGTCGCACGTGTGTTGCACTCCCCGGCGAGGCCCATCCCAATTTGATTATTTTTGTTATAGATATATTTTTAATTTGATTTTTTTGTTATAAATATATTTTTAAATGAAATAAATAAGAAAGGTTTTCGATTTATTAAGGGATAACTCATATAATTTTTTGATGTCGTAATAAATAGGATGTATCATAACTGATTGAATTTGTGGGCCAAGGGCCAGTTTGATATCGTCGTTCGTGGGCCGGGGAAGCACTAATGGGTGGAAGGATCCATGGGCCCCCATGTGGGACCCGCTGGCTCGAGGCGCATGTGCTTGCGATATAATGACCATCCGCGACCTCCGTCTTCGATTCCATCTCCTTCGCAGTCGTGAGGACCCCTCTCTCTCTCTCTC